TATCCTTTTGATCTTAATTATTTGTGTTTCCTTTCAGTATTATAAAGACACATAAATTCTGTGTTTTACGATTTTTGTCACTTAATGATAAGATATTAAAAAATTCGATTCTATAAATAATTTCTATCCAATAGTATTCATAACCACTTATTTTTGGTCCATTTGTCTTAATATTTTATTCAGCTAAATAAAATATTAGAAATTAGCAATCTACAAATTCTAAAAATTTTGATTTCAGATAATTTCAGCTAATAGCAAGCAAAGTTAAATCTTACCAGGAATGTTGTTTAAAATTTTCAATTGATCTTCAGGGATTCTCAAGATTTTTTGGAGATACTGGCTGTTCCAAACAGAAGATGTGCTACCTAGCAAATTTGCAGTTGACTGTAACATAACACACACCTAAAATAATTTTTATTTACTGTTAAACAATTAATCACAGAGGTTTATGATGAGTTTTTATTGATTAAAATTAGCCAGAAATTAGACTTAGGACTAGAAACACACAATGTATTTTATTGTGCAAAAAAGATTCTTAGAACGTAGTGAACTTACAATAATTAGATAAACAAAGTTCAGAGTTTTCGGTACTAAAGAAGAAAAAAAAGATAAATGACATTTAAATCACTTAAATCCCACTGACGCCATAAAATCATTGCATTAAATATAATTTTAAATCTATAATTAAATAAATATTTAATGTTTCCTTAAAGAGACAGATTAGCTATAGATTAATAAGAATATATTATGTAAAATTAGAGAAAAAAATCACAAAGTCTCAAGATAGTTTTCTCACTGAAAATTTTTTTAAACTCATATCTTAATTACTTCATTAAACTAAGGGTATCTACATTAAATAAAATTGTTCGCTAGCAATTCCATTCTCTAAAAACTTAAACAATATTCCTTCCTCTGTGTTGGGATTAACTATGAACAGAATTATAAAGCTTAATTAGTTCTACCATTTATAAACGATTCATGAGGTTTACGAGGGAAATATATAAACAAAAAATATTTAAGTCAAACGATACAAATCCAGTGAATGAGTTGGAAAGTTACAATTAATTACAGAACTTTATTAATCACTATACTCCGTGAAAATTTCATATTAGTCCAATTATATCCTTCAAATATGTACGTCAAAAGCTTATTTTTAACTATAAGATGAGTAGCGAATAATCAAATCAATAAACTTACAATAATTTTCTATTCTCTAATTCACTACTTCGCAAACGAAAACAAAAAAAAATTGCGCCTTTCAACTATTCTCTGATGCCAAAAACTAACTTTAGATCTTTCAAATAATTTATTTACATTTAAATACTGTGGTTGATTATTTTGAACTCTTTTTCTAAAATTTATAACCAAATAAATAAAAAATTGCTTTGATAGGATAAAAAAGGAGAATATTAGATTTTTTCTCAATGATTTTTGCATTGCGACCTCAGTCACTAATGGTAATTGTTTAAGATTTATTTCATGTTTTTGGCATCACTAGTTTTCGCGTTAGTAAATAATTAAAATGGACTTAGCTTGTTGTTTTATACAAGCGGTTCATTGTTAATTACCAATTAAATGATGATTTTTAAATTTTTCTGGATCTGTGCGGAAAATCGCCAGATGTTTCTTCCAGAATAATGGAAATATTTTTTAAGTTCTTATTGTTGTCATTACTTTTGCTACATTGCTATGGTACGTCATTTAATTCATATTTATTATCTCTAGTGCTTTCATTCATTGTAGGCCATTGTCAAAAAAACATCTAACACTTAAATTGAATTTTTGTGTTCTTTAGCAATATTTGTCCGATTTTTTTTTTTTATCAAGCAACAATATTTTTACTGACATCTTAGTATTCTTTTACTTTTTTAAGTGTCGGAATGATATTGCTTGGAATCGATTAATAATATCGTTCAAAACCTTTAATATTTACTAAGTAAATTATTACAGAAAGACTATATTTGCAAAAATATCTTTTGATTATGGTAAAAAATAATGCGTTTTGACCATTTCAAGTTTAAATAGAATTTTAAAAAGGAAAGATATTCTATAATAGCAATCCAGATGAACACTACTGATTTTATGTAAAGTAAATTAAGATAACTCTATATTTAAAGCCAGACCAAACAATAAATAGAAACTCCTATCATTTTACTTTCTAGTTACACATTACGATCTATAATTACAGTTGCTTGTGAAAAAATTAGGAACTGTTTGTTCCAAATCAAAGATAGAACATTGAGTTCAATTTTTCTTATAAAAGTAAAAACTTTTAGCAGTTCTTTTCTCAAAAGGTTTTCACGTTTTATCAAATGCTTTGTTTTCATCACAAATTTTTTTCAGTCGACTTCTATGAAAACAAACTATTTTGAAAAATTTAGTAATAAATATAAATAAGATGATTAAAATGTATACACATAAATTTAACAATGAATAAATTTTTTTATCATCCACAGGGTTTTAAATTATGTTTTTTTCTTACTGAAATTCATATTTTGTAATCTTTTTGATTAGGTATTAGATTACAGCTTTTTTTAGAAAAGCTATGTAATTTAATATTTTTCTTTAGAGTATTGCAAATTAAAGTTTTGGTGACATAATTATAATAACAATGGCCCCACATCATATACAGTAGAACCCGTTTAAGAAGTCGGAGGTTTCACTGTATATATATATATTGAAGATTCTAGTTATAATCCCAAGCTTAGTAGTGATATGAATGTAGATCCATCACTTAAAGCTATTGAAACAGTATCAGAAAAAAGAAAATCCTTTTACATTCTTAATTTCATAATGTAATGAAAATGATTGTGATGATCCATTATAAAAATGAATGTCTTTCTCTGTGTGCCCTTCATAGACTCCTCCTAAACCATCCAATTGAAATCAATGAAACTCTGCATACAGATAGTTTGAAGCACGAGGAAGGTCACTGTCGACATCCCCGTGGCAGAAACACGGCGACACAGCGACATTGTCGCAGAAAGCGACTGAGTTCTTGCAGAAATTTTTTTTTTTATTTGGGAAATAAAAATTTTTGGTTTGCCACATACAAAAGTTCTCAAAAAAGATTCTGCAGAAACAAAAGTTGTTTTACCAAAAAAAAGAAAGAAAAAAAAAACATTTTCTACAGAAACAAAAAATTTCTGCAGAAGCAATAATGGTTCTGCAAAAAAATTTTCTTACAGAATGGTTTTAAAAATTTTTTTTTTCTAGCGTACCGCGGAAGAAGAAAGCGTTCGTAATTCTCCGTTAATCTCCAACATTTGAATTCAACATTGAAATTTGCCAACTTCGGCCTCTATCGC